GCCATTTGAGTTCAAAATCCCCCAGGCCCAAGTCGTCCAAACCCCTTCACCCGGCCCAACCACCTTAACCCGATCTGGTTTTCCCCCCTTTAAATAAAACGACGTCGTTTCACGGGCAACAGATCAGGACCGTCGAGGTTTCTTGATCGGGCGGTCCTGAAGCTCGGGTCATTTAGTATTTAAGTGTCCAAACCTGCCCCTACCCCTCATTCATCTCCCTCACAACCTGCCTCTGCAAACCCTAACGACGCCGCCTCTAAATCCCCCCACCACCGGAGGCGGCGCCACCACCACGAACCCGACCTCAAATTAACACCAAATACCCTCCTCAACTCCCTCAGTCCAAATCTACAAGCATCTTCCATCAAACAAACCCAGAATGTCTCGAATCTTGTTTTAAAAGAAAAAACCTAGCGCCGCCCCTATGCTCTCTGGTGGCGGCGCCGCCTCGGTTCAACCCCAAAATCACACCCATGAACCCTGTTTCCCCTTCATTCTAAATCCCCACTTAGATTCCCTTAAATCACCCCAGAACTCTCCGAATTTCAAATCTGAGTTCAAACCCTAAAACTCCTGGAGTCAATTTCCGTCGAATCTGTGGGCATGCATGACCTTAGGCCTCCGATTTGTTCGAGTTTGAAGTCTGATTCAACGCGAATTGATGCTGCTCATTTGTTCTTGATAAAGAACAAGTGATTAGCATCAGTTCCGTTTAAATCAAGATGTCCGATGCCATTTCGGGTTTACTAGGGTAAGTTTCTTTCCCTTTTTCTTTTCTATCCGAGTTTCACCTTCTGTTCCTCTTCTTTTCTTCTCCCTTTCTTTAAGTTATTTTACTTTGATTGAAATTCGAGCAAGGTTCTGAACCTAGTTTCCCTCTAAGATTGATTTTGTGTTCGTATCTATTATATTGGCTTTTCGGCTTTCTTTTTCAAATTTGAAGTTTGTGGTCTGGTTAGCTTTCATTAGTGCCATGCTTAAACTTCTCATTTTTGTCTTTGTTTTGGTCACTAAGCTTAATTAGTTAGCTTAATTAGTTCCCCGCCTGTTTATGATCGTTAATTAGTTGATTTGTTTGGTTTTTAAGTTTTCTGAATTTGTTTGGGTTTCGTCTTTGGGCTCTGAGGTCAGTCTAAGATCTCATGTTAAAGGAATTCTATTTGGTTTGAGTCTGAGTCCATGTCTAGTTAAGCATTGAGCCTGTTCGGGGATTCAAATCCCATGTTCAAGTCTGGCCGGGCTTCAAGGTAAAATACAGAGGCAATAGGGGTAAATTGGGTAAGTCACTTAAGGGAATCTTGTTATAACCACCTATGAAGCTACCTAGAAGCTGAAAAACAGACTAACTTGACCAACAAGTCAGTAATTGAAGGGCTAAGCAGCAAAAATGAAAATTTAAAAAGGACTAAAATGAAAGAAACTGAACACTTAAGGCTGCCCTGATTCTTGCTTATAAAGGCATCATTTCTTGCCTTTCAAGGTAGACCTAAGAGACTAAAAAGAGATAAAAATTCTGAGAGAATAAAAACAGCTGAGAATTCTGAAACTGCACTAATTTCCAGTATATTTCTTTGATAAAAACTGATAAAATTCGGTGTCAGCTGGGGATTTCTGATCTTCTTCATTAGTTAAAATCTCTGAAAGTTTCACATCTTGCACCTGGGTTGGGAGATGGTTTGATTTTTGGTTTTTCTGGGTTTCAAACTGCTGAGAGGTCACTGTTGCATTGATACTGCTGTGCTTTTGTTCTGCTGTTATGTATTGCTTCTTCACCTCTTTTTCCCTTTCAATTTCCAGGTATGCTTTTGAAACTTGGATGGAACTGAAACCTGATTGAGCTGTGTATTAAGATCTGTGATCCAGTTGGTTTCAAATAAAAATATCAGTCCCTGTTGTGTCAAATTCTACCCTGTTGTCGTTTATGTTTTAGTTTAGCTTCTTATGTGCATTTCATTTTGTTTTAAGGTTTGGATTTGAGCTTGCCCGAATATAGTGATTCAAAACTGTTAGACCTTTTAATGTGTATTGATTGAGGACTGTGGCTCTTAGCTGATTGGTTGAAATTGTTTGTTTATAGATGTGCCTTTCATGATTAGGGTTCAAATGTATTAATTCAGATTTTTGGGTACAACACAATTGATCTATGTTCTGCCTTCCATTTGGTTTTTAAATCCTGCTTTCTTATGGTTTGAAGCATAGTCTAGTAACTTCAGAAGTTTGTTGTTCACCCTTTCTCTTTTGTTCATGTGATGATTTGCTTCAATGAGGGATTTCAAATAAAAGTCAGATATGGTTTTTTTGTTTGTTCTGAGAATGTCTCAGCCTAGCACAGTTCGTCACATATTTCTTTTAACAAATTGGAATCATATGGCTGTTTAGTGGCACTTTCACAGGATTTGTTGAGGTTTACCCTCATGTCAGTACTTAGAGTTATTGTGAGGTTTTGTGATTTGAGGTTGCATATCATTTAGTTGTCAAAGTTGAACGTTAATTTTGTGTTTAAAGAATTTCATGAATCAGCAGTTTGCCCTTGTTGAAATTTGGTTCCATCATGGCTTTCCGGACGCAATTTGAGCGCTTCAGGGATTCGAAGTCGAGTCTTTTCTCGTCACTCTCAGACTCACGGGGTTTTGGGCTCATATTGGGCCTGAATTCGGAAAGACTTTCCTAGAATCAGAATTACGTATTTGGCATAGTTTGGGCCTGCTTGATTCCGTTGGCCCAATTCCATCGCTTGCTTGTTCGCTGATAGCAAATTTAGTTCGGGCTTTTAGCATAGTGGATATTCTGAACTCCTGGGGTTTCTTCTCTTCCATAATTAATTAGACTCTCTAAAATGAACTTGAGGTCCGCCATATTTAACAACACAAATAGCTATGGCCCTCCGAAATTTAGTTTGGATTTTTTTAAAATTGGAACCGAGGTGTGTCATGCCCAAACAAAAATCTTAAATTGCATGGCCCTCGTTTTATTAATCTTGTTTAATCCTTAGAATTCGAGGCTTGTCATTTAGCAAATTTTCCGTGGCCCTCGCAAAGCCGCAAATGCATTAGTTGCTTTAGGCGCGTATATTAATAATATTACCTTCCTAAACTCGGGTGTGCATTTCATGTAACCCAAATCAAATCTTAAAACATTGAATAAAATATGTTTAGGATTGCAGGTGCATTTCATGTGGCGCAATCCAAAGACGTGTTTTAAACGACGTTTAATCTTCTTTAAAAATTGAATAAAAGCGGTTAAAAGTTGAAATTTGCACATGAGTTCATAATTGATTAAAATTAGATAATTAAGCCAAATATGACAGTTGAGCGACCATGATAGAACCACAGAACCCAGGAATGCCTAACACCTTCTCCCGTGTTAACAGATTTCCTTACTCGGATTTCTGGTTCGCGGACTGTTGAACAGAGTCCACCCTTTCCTCGATTCGGGATTCAACTGGTGACTTGGGACAATTACTTCCGAGATTGATTTTCCAACTGTGGACATTAGGTTTTAAAGTAATCGGGCTCTTGAGCCTGAAGAAAGACAGTGATTAGCTTGTGGTCATCCATGGGTGGCTTAACTCTGGCTGCTTGTTCTCTCCATTTAATGGCATATTCCCTGAAACTTTCAGTTGGTTTCTTCTTCAGATTTGAGAGGGAATTATGGTCCGGGGCGATGTCAATGTTATATTGGAACTGTTTGACAAAGTCCTGGGCCATGTCATCCCAGACATACCAGCAAGATGTGTCTTGATCCATAAACCATTCGGAGGCTATACCCGTAAGGCTTTCCCCAAAATAAGCCATCAGTAATTCTTTATTTCTTCCTGCACCTCTTAGTTGATTGTAATACCTTTTCAGGTGGGCTATAGGGTCTCCATGTTCATCATACTTTTCAAATTTGGGAGTCTTGAAACCAGGTGGCAAGTGGACATCGGGGAACATACATAGATCCTTGAAGACAATACTCTTCTGACCTGCCAGCCCTTGTATGTTTTTCAACTGTTGTTCTAAGCTTTTCAGTCTTTGGGTTATTTCTTCCGGTGGGCTTCTCTATCTTTGCAGGAAGATCAAATAGGTAGGAATGGTACTCAGGAGAATGGTATTTTTCTTGCTGGGTAGCAAATTGTGACTCATGAGTTTTCCTCTACACTACCGTCGGCTGTGGGATGGTGAAGACAGGCATAATTGTAGTGGTTGTCTGATTGGTTGTCAATGGCACACTTTGGGAGTGCGCAACAGAAGTTCCAGCTATAGTCATACAATTGGGATGAAGACTGAACCTAAATGAATAGAATTGATCAGATAATGAAACCGGAGTGGTAGTAGTCGAGATGGGTGTAAACTCTGGGAAAACATGAGAAAGGGGTGGTCCTTGATCATTGGCCCATGCCTGACACATTTCAGATATTTGTTGTTTTAGCCTTTGGATCTCCTCTTTCAATTCAGATTCCGACTCCACAATCTCCCTCGAGGGGTCAACAACTCATGTATCCAAGTCTTTGCTAGCCATGACTACCTTGCTTTTTGACCTTGTGTTGTATGGATGAATCGTCAAAGTGCCATAAACTAACCACCCTCTGTTATAATAATAATGAAAGTAACCAAGGGGAGCAAAACAAAGCCAACATGTTAGCGTTAGAGCATTTATCAGATAGAAATATCACATTGCGTGCAATGCCCCTAGCAACAATTAACGGTTCTATAATGGCTTCGAGGGTCACATGGTCATTTGGCATCATCCCGATGTTGTTCATTTCAATTTTCTCTTTTCTTTCTTTTCTAGTACTTCTTGGCTCGCTCATTTTTCTTCCTCTCTTTTTTCTTTTTAATTGTCATTCTTTTCTTTTCTCTCATTTCTCACATCCCGCAACTTTCTTTTTTTTTTCTTCTTTTTTAATTCCTTTTTTTAAAATAATTATTCGATCGAACCCTATGTAGGTTGCCTACGTATCATGTCCCTCATGAATCAGATCAAGCGTAGTTCTGGAAAATATAGTGGACAAAATAAACTAAGAAACAAAAATCTTTTTGGATTTTTCATTTATAATTTTTTTAGTTTTTCAAATACAAAACAGGAAGTACGATATAATGAAAGACTCGACAAACTCAACTAGACTATGATAGTCTCTGACATCACCTAAAAGATGCAGTACTACTGGACATGACTACAAAGTAAAAGAAAACATGAAAACAAACTCAAAAATATAGAAAAGTCTCCTCAAGTAGCTCCCGAATGCAGTGGTCCTGGGGTATCTATCATGCTCGAGTCCTGGTACATGGATCCACACCTGAATGAGAAAAATAAGACGAAATAGATCAGTGACTCAAGACACTATGCGACACCACAACACCTCCTATTGGACACATGCAAGACACGATTGAGCTATTTTTGAAAATTAACCTATGTGGCCAAGAGTGGCTAGAAGTGGAAACTCAGCAAGGGTGACTACTCAGATATGGAAATATCTCACTAAGGTTTATATGGATTCACACTCCAAATAATCATGGCCCAAGATTAATTTGCAAAAATGATCCATTTTGAAAAAACGACCGATATGGCCAGAAGTGGCTAAAGATGCAAACTCAATAAGGATGGACCTTAAAGTAATATGGTACCTAGTTGTGGACTCAAGATCCTAAGACATGGGCCATTGAACCACTTGCGTAAAAATGGCCCCATTTTTCAAGAATAGCCGATGTGACCAAACAATGGCTAGACATGCAAACTCAACAGGAATGGACCTTAAAACTGAGAAAACACCTTGTTGTGGACTTAGGGCTCTAAGACATGGGATAATAAGTCATTTTGAGAAATAGCCCTATTTTGTAAAATAACCACATAACCAATGTGGCCAAACGTGGCTAGATATACAAGATTTGGCTAAGACCCCGCGAAACCAAGAACCTAAGACTCACTAGGAAGACCGAACCTTATGTGGGCTGCCTACGTATCCTGCCCCGAAAGATGAGAATCAGGTATGTGTAGTTCGGGAAGATTGGACATAGGAGAAAGCTTTTAAAAAAATGCAGCTAATTTGGAAAAATTATATTTTTTGTCTTTTTGAAAAATGATGGAAAAATGTAAAATCTTTTTGGATTTTCTTTTTTCTCCTTTTTTCCTTCCTTTTTCTTTCTTTTCCTTTTTTTCTTCTTTTTCTCTTTTTCTTTTCTATTTTTTGGAAAATGATGGGAAAGTGCAAAATCTTTTTAGATTTTTCATTTTTAATTTTTTTGGTCTTTTCTTGAAAAGGTTGTGAAGGAAAAACATAACTGGGCCCTACTTGCTTCATTTTTATACTTCACCCTCTTTTCCTTCTCATTTACCCTCAAACCGTCATTTGTCCGCCAAATGACCTTTTTACCCTAAAAGAATGCAGCATGTAACACACAAGGTGATTAAATATCTTTTTGGGACATGGGCCCGTTTTGACATAATTTGGATAGGCCTCCTACAACGGAATACAGTGCTTGGGACCGAGTCCTACTAGGTCTAAATGACATGATGCAAATAAGAATGACCTAAAGGTTAACTTAAGCTTGGGGTTCACTGGACAAGGCAATTCGGGGCGACACGTGGTTGATGGCGGCTGCTCTAGCTGTCCGCCCACTCCACGCTCCCATGCCACCCCCCTAAGGACACGGTGACTCACGAAAAGGCCGTGTACGCTCAAACGTACTCCGGAAGACTTGTTACAGAAAGAAGACTCATGGTTATGCAAATGATGACAGTTATAAAGCGGTAAACACATAAGAAAAAGCGACAAATAAGTAACCAACAAAACAAGAAATAAAACAAACAAACAAACAAACAAAGCAGCTAAAGAAAACAAATACCTTAATCGAATATCTTAAAAGCCAACAAAATCAAGTATCAGCTCGGACCTGCAACTCCCTAGCAAAGTCGCTAGAGCTGTCACACCCCTTTTTTACAACCTCACTAACCTTCTTAAAATAAATAAAAAGTGATTTTTGAAGCTCAAAAGGGTTTTTAATTAGAAAGTGACAAAAATTTGTGTTCAAAAGGACTTTTCAGAGTCGCCACCTGACATTGGTTTCGATGTGTCAGGTCACCGTTTTTTTAAAAATGATTTTTCCTTTTAAAACACTTAGGACTTCAAAACTAAGTCTGCACTAGAGATTAAGGTAAGGGGGTTCATTTGACTCGGAAGAAGGTGTTAGGTATTCCCCGAGTCCCGTAAATAGTACGGTTGCGTACATGATCAAGTTGTCTTTTAAAATATTTAAATTGAGGTAAATAAACACAAAAAAAGAAAGAAAAATAAACACACAAGAGGCTCGAGGTCGTCCCTACCTAATAAAAGAAAAATAATAAAATAAACAAATACTACAAGTTCTACTTACAGCCTCCAAATACAAATACTACGGGGCATACCCCGGATAAAAATATATACAAAATCTACGGGGCATTTTCCAGATAAATTTAACTAAGGGAACGACCTCTCGCCTCAAAACTAACAAAACCCTAAGGCTTGCCTACCCAAGTGTGGTCGGCCTAAGCATGCTCCTAGCGATTAAACAATAAATAAACTAAAGTGACGAGATCATTTTCAATCCAATTTCCTCTCATTTCTCATAATAACTGACCCCAATTTCAGAATATACTGCAAGCCTAAAATCCCAACACAAGCTAGTCTGTGAACATCTCATATCATGCTCGATTCTTAATTTCCCCTTCTTTCAAACACATTGAGTTTCAAGTGATGAAAAATCTAATAAAAATGAAAAATGTCACGTGTTTTTTATTAATCAAAAAAATTTCACTCAAATAGTAACAGATTGTCTGTTTAATTTAAACAACCTTGACCACTAAGATAGAAATGAGTCTATTCAGTGGTCAAACATGAAAGAATTCATTGAATCACACCAAACAAAACATCACATATTTGTAAAATTAAAAGGAGCAAATAAATAGGGGAAGAAGTTGGACCTTTATCGCTACGTATTTTTCGCCATGTACAATGACTGAAAATTTCCAAAGCAGCAAACCAAAAAAATGATCTATTGACCAAACCTCGAATCGGCGACGGAACCCCAAACGAACCTAATAACCTCGACGAATGTTGTGTACTCGTTCATGCAAATAGATCATCAATCACAGAGATGACTAAAGAAACATTTCCAATCTTGAAAAGCTTCTTCAGAATGCAATCTCAGACAAACCTATTAATATCTTATGCAAAGCCCGTGGTTCAAGAATTCATTCATAGTTAGTTATTAGAAAACAGAGGAAGAAATGTGCTGGAAGGGCTATATTTGGCTAGTATTTGGCCTGAGATGAAAGCTGTCGAGGAAATGACACCAAGGCGTTTTGAACAGATTAAAGACTATTATCTTCCATATAAATGGAATATTTTCCTAGGAACAATATTTGTAGTTGATGGAAGGAATACCACGACAGCGATAATTGGCCGGAGATGGCAGCGGCGGCGGATTTCGCACCCCAAGTTGAGAGAGGCGATGGAGGTGATGACGGTCGGTGGTGAAGAGGGGGTGATGCGGCTGTCCGGCGTGAGCAGCCGGTGGAGAGAGGTGGACTGGCGGCTGTGCTATTAGGGTGTTCTCTAGGGTTTTCTTGGTTTAGGTCTCTCGATTTTTTTTAAGAAGGGTGTCTAGGTTTTATGTATTAGGGTAAGATAAAATATGGGCCTAGGTTTGAATGAGGCTCTAAATCTACAAAATTGGGCTAAGAAAAGGCTGAAAATTTAATTTACTTCAAAAAATACTTATAAGAAGATATAAAATAACTCTTAATTAATTTTAATAAACTATTACATTTAAAATAAAATTAAAATTAAAGTTGAAACTATTTTTGGTATTTTCAAATATTATATTAAAATAAAATAGGTTCAAAGTAATATATCCTTCTAAAAATACCTAATACGTGAATTAAATAGAGAAATATGGAACTATTTTTGTGATTTTTAATTTTTGTTCTTAAATAAAGTAAAAGAGTCAAAACTAGTTAAAATAGCGATATTAGTCCTAAACTAAATATTTAAACGCTAAAATGCGTAAAATCTCGAGGAGGGTCAAAAATTACATGTCTACAATGGGCGTCACTACCAACCTCTTAAACACCATCAACGAGGATGACCGAGAAGACGAGAAGAACGTGACACCGAGTGCTACACCCAGGCGGAGTGACTCACCTCCCAACATGGAAGTGTAACCGCTTCACGCGAAAGGGGAGCCTCCACGTCCACAACTGAAGAAGCGCCACCAGCAGTGAAAAAATTACTGGTGGAATGGCCGACAAGTTCGTTATCACCCATGCAGAGGCCAAAAAGGCAGAGGCCAGGGTGAATGATATATTCGCCGTCAGACATCGCCTAGCGAGGGACTCAAGGACTTTCTCTCCAGATTCAATAGAGTAAGAATGAGCTTGCCAAACTTATCAGAAGGGATGGCGTTGGCAGCCTTCCAAAATGGGTTGAACAGGAATGTTTCAAGAGCAACCCGAAAGTTGTTGAGCAGACTTATGAAATACCCTCTCACCACTTGGGAAGAAATTCACAATTCCTATTGCACCGAGGTGAGAGCGGAAGAGGATGATCTCAATGGTCCAACCTAACGGCTAACGTCAGTCCAAACGAAGTCGAGAAAAAGACCGTCGTAATGATGGCCGAAGAAACCATTCAGGCCCACGCCCCAACCGGGACATGTACCAACCATATGTCAGAACGGCCATCGCTCCCTCTCCTTGCCATGCCGAAGGGCCGCCTAGGCCACATACAGGGACTCAGCGAAATGAAAGAGGTATGCCTTCACTCTTATCTGCTCACAATTTTTTTGTCTCCCTTTCAGAAATTGTGTACGCACTAGAGAAGCTCGGCCCGAAGGTAAAGTGGCCACAGAAGATGAAGTCCGACCCATGTACTAGAAAATTGAACGTCATCTGTGAGTTTCATCAGGAACAAGGCCATAAGACCAAAGACTGCATAGCCCTACGGCAAGAAGTAGTGAACATGCTTCATCAAGGACACCTAAGGGAGCTGATGAGCGATCGAGGAAGATCCAACTTCGGCTGCGAACGAGAACAATACCAAGGCCCTCCAAAGCCACCCTCCCCCACCTGCACCATCCAAATGATCATCGACGAAGGCAACGAAGCAGCAATCAATCACGTGAAGTACACAACCACACGTAAACTAAAGCGGTCGATCACCCATGAATGGTATGATGACCTCGAAGACAGTATCATCTTCGATAAGTCAGATACCCATAGTTTGACCTTCCCTCACTTCAATGCTCTTGTCATTACTTTACGTATTTTAGATACTGATGTAAAAAGAATAATGGTAGACGATGAAAGCAGCGTGTGTATTATTCACCCCCGAGTTCTCACACAAATGAGACTTGAGGACAAGATAGTGCTACGCTGCATAACACTAATAGGTTTTAACAATGCAATTGAGCGAACCTCAGGAGAGATAACATTGTCCATCCTAGCCGGAAGTGTCACCCTAGAAACAACGTTCCATGTCATGAACTAGGACACAACTTACAACGCCATCATAGGGTGACCATGGATACATGCCATGAGAGCCATCCTGTCCAGCATGTATCAAGTAATCAAGTTCCCTACTCCGTGGGGGATATTCAGCATCTGAGGCGAACAACACACAACCCAAGAGTGCTACCGCATCGCCCAAGATTATACATACACTCAACAGTTAAAGGGAATAGACTCGGAAGCGTAGCAATTACCAAAGTCGGGGCCCGAACTCGATGAACAAAAAGACATCATCAAGGAACCCGACTTCGTGGAAGCTGCAGGGTCAACAGTAGAAGATCTCGACCCTATCCAACTAGACAACATAGACAATAGCAAAAGGGCTTACATAGGCCAAAACTAGGTATATTTCATAAGTTTCTAATTGACAATGCCGATCTGTTTGCTTTCTCCCATGCAGATATGCCATGTATCCCGAAAGATGTTGCCACACACAAGTTGAACGCCGATCCACTCTACCTTCCAGTACGACAAGTAAGAAAAAAATTCAACACTGCAATTAACGAGGCTGTCAATGATGAGTTGGATAAACTACTCGCTAATGGCTCCATCCGAGAGTCGAAATACCCCCAATGGGTTGCCAACGTAGTCATAATGAAAAAGAAAAATGGTAAGTGGCGGATGTGCGTGGATTTCACGGACCTAAACAAGGCCTGCCCGAAAGACTCCTTTCCGTTGTCTCACATCGATACAACGACAGGGCACGAGTTGTTGAGCTTTTTGGACGCCTACTCAGGTTACAACCAAATCCTCATGGAGGAGAAGGACTAGGAAAAGACTACTTTCATCACTCATCAGGGAACGTACTATTACAGAGTCATGCCATTCGGGTTGAAGAACGCAGGGGCGACTTATCAAAGGCTAGTCATCAAGATGTTTAAGGACCAACTCGGCAAAACAATGGAAGTTTACATAGATGATATGTTGGTCAAATCAAAAAGGAAGGAAGACCACATCAACCACCTAAAGGAAGCCATCGGCATACTAAGGCAATACGGTATGAAGCTGAACCCCAAAAAGTGTGCCTTCAGCGTAATTTCGGGCAAATTTCTCAAATTTCTAGTGTTACAAAGAGGCATCAAGGTCAACCCCGACCAGATCAAAGCCAATGAGAGAATACCCGAAGTATTACCAGCAAGAAATAGGTACAAAAACTAACAGGTCGTATAGCTGCCCTGTCGAGGTTCATCTCACGATCCTCTGACAGATGCCACAAATTCTTCAACATGCTTAAAAAGGACAACGGGCTCTAGTGGAATTCAGAATGCATCGAGGCCTTAAGAGAACTAAAGGCGTACTTGTCCTTGTCCCCGCTACTCGCCAAAGCAGAACCCGGCGAGTGCCTCCTGATATACTTGGTCGTATCAGAGGCGTAGTAAGTGTAGTACTAGTCTATGAAAACAAAGGCACGCAATCTCGAATCTATTACATTAACAAAACCCTGGTCGACGCCGAAACAAGGTACCACTCCCTTGAAAAATTGGCCTTGGCATTTGTCATAGCTTCACGAAAGCTTAGACCCTATTTTCAATGTCACCCTATATCAGTGGTGGCGACCTTCCCCCTAAGGAGCATCCTACATAAACTCAAAATGTCAGGAAGATTGGCCAAGTGGGCCATAGAATTGAGCGAGCACGATATAACATATCAGCCGCGAACAACGATAAAATCGCAGGTGCTCGCCGACTTCGTCGCCGATTTCAGTGCCAAAATAATTCCCGAGGTAGAGCAAGAAACTTCTCGTACCTTTCCCGGGTTACCCAACCTATGGGTCCTATACACCGATGGTACTTCCAACGCATCAGGATCTGGACTGAGACTCGTACTCGAGGTCCCAACAGGCGAAGTCATCCGCCAATCCATACAGTGCCCTGATATGACTAACAATGAGGCTGAGTACGAGGCTGTAATTGTAGGACTAAAGCTAGCTCTCAAATACAGAGCACGACGAGTCGTTCTCAGATGCGACTCACAACTCATTGTCAACCAAGTCACAGGGACTTTCCAAATCAAAGAGTAAAGGCTACAAAAGTACCAGGCAGAAATTCATAAACTACTACCAGAATTCGACGAATGTCAACTCGACCAGATACCTCGAGCACAAAACATTGAGGTAGATGGCCTTGCCAAGTTAGCAACAGCCCAAAGAACATTACAAAAGAAAACGTGGTTACCCTCCTCCACTCGTCAATAGACCAACTTGAGGTACACTCTATAAATTTGATGTGGGACTGGAACAACCGCATTATAATATATTTGCAGGAGGGAGTACTCCTATCAGACAAAAAAGAAGCCAAAAAGCTTTGAATGCAGGCGGCAAGGTACAATATCATAAGCCACGACCTATACAAAAGAACATTTGGAGGCCCCTTGGCGAAATGCCTAGGGCCGCACCAAACAAGACGTGTCTTCGAGGAAGTACATGAAGGCCACTGCGGTGCCCATACCGGCAACCGAGCCCTTGTCAGATGCCTTTTATGAGCAGGTTATTATTGGCCCACCATGAAGAAGGAAATCACTGACTACGTCAAAATGTGCGAGCAGTGCCAGAAGTACGCTCCTATGATACATAAAGTGGGCGAGCACCTCCACTCAGTCACATCGTCATGGTCGTTCATCAAATGGGGAATGGACATTGTCGGACCCCTTCCAGTAGGACGAGGTAATATACGATTTCTTTTGGTTTTAACTAACTATTTTTCCAAGTGGTTAGAAGAAGGTGCATTCGCCCAAATACGCGAATAGGAAGTTATCACATGCATATGGAGAAACATCATATGCCACTTCAGCATCCCCAAAGAAATCAACTATGACAACGGACCTCAGTTCACCAGAAAAAAGATCGCCGAATTCTTCGAGAAATGGCACATCAAGTGAATACTCTCCACGCCATATCACCCTGCCGGCAACGACCATGCCAAATTCTCCAACAAAACAATACTAAACATCTTGAAGAAAAAGTTTGAGGATGCCAAGGGACTATGGATGGAATTACTACCAGAAGTGTTGTAGTTATACCACACTACGCCAAAAACAAGCACAGGAGAAATGCCATATTCACTAGTCTATGGGACTGATGCAGTGATACCAGTCGAGGTTGGGGAACCATGTTTG